TAATTTTCTGCATTTCATGAATTCTCTGTGGAAGTTGCTTTTAACAAAAAGGCCCAGGAGGACATTGATGACATCCCGCAGGCGTGCTCAGACCCAGGATTGTTCTGGCTGGCAGAAGCTGCACCAATCTCCCAGGAATCTCAGTCTGCATTTTCTTTTCTCCCGGTTCTCCCAATCCTCACTTTGGGGGTGCAGTGCAGCCCTGCCCTGTCTATCTCCTAGAAGAGTTGTGGGGTTCAAAGTGTTCTTTTATATTCTCCAGTGTTCATAATTTCATTAAAAAGAATAAAACCATATCAATGTGGTCTGGACTGGTTCATTTGCATTGGCTAATTAAAGCAAATAATTGAGAAGGGGTTTGAGCAGCCCTTGGTTGGAGCTGGCAGCTCTTCCTTGGTGTCTCTTCATTCTCTGAATTTCTTTGAATTATTCCTTAAGCAGTTCCTGCAATCAGGATACACAGTGAGGAGAAACAGCGCCGCTGCCCTGCTGGATTGGGAAATCCGAGTCCAGTCCCTCAGAGGGATTGAGGGAAGGGGAGCTGAGCCTCAGGCTGGGATTTGGGAGCAGGAATTCAGTGAGGAGGGGAGAGGGGAGATCCCCCAAAGCTGCTGAAAGCAAATTCTGCTGGGTTTGGGTGCCCCCAGCCCAAAAAATGATCCCGGTTAAAGGGGACTTGAGGAAGCAGCGGGATGTGCTGGGGGGCTGTGCTGGAACCCCCAAACCCTGGGCAGGGATGCTGGACAGTGTCAGCTCCATGGGGACACTATGGAAGGTCCCTGCTGGGATGCCCAAATTCCAGCCAGGAATGCTGGGCACCGCCAGCTCTTGGGGACACTGCCTGATCCCGAGAGTTTTCCCATTATTTCCTGTCGTGCTCAGCCCCTGACACTTCATCAGAGACCCAGAGGCTGAAAGTCCCGTGGGAGCAGCTGGAACCGCAGGCGGGCACACAGAAGCCGGTCCAGGGCTGGAAATGAGCTGTCCCACGGGTTTATTTTTCCCGAGGGGTTTTTCATTTAGAGCAGAACACTGCCCGCGCCCCGACCCCCGGCCCGGCCCCATATCCTTTATTTCCGGGGTTTCTCCGTGAGGATTTCCTGCCCAGGCTGGGTGAGGAATTCACACACACTGCCCCGGCTCTGCGGGCCCGGCCCCGGTTCGGCCCCGCCGTGAGGGGCGGGAACGCGGCGGCGGGCGCGGCCCCGGGCCCGGCAGGGCGGGGCTCGGTGGGCCGGGCCGGGGCTCAATGGGCGGGGCCGAAGCTCGGGGGGCCGGGCCGGGGCGGGGCCGCAGCATCAGGGGCGGGGCCGGGGCTCAGGTGCGGGGCTGGGGCGGGGCCGGAGCTCAGGTGTGCCGGGCCGGGGCTCAGGTGTGCCGGGCCGGGGGGCTCAGGTGTGCGGGGCCCCAGGGCGGCTGCGCGGGGCGGGGCCGAGGTTATTTAACTCCCGGCAATCACTTCGGCCGCCATTTGCTCACTCAGAGCGCGGTGCGAGCGGAGCTCCTGTGAGGGCTCGGCGGGTGAGGCTCGGGGGCTTCGGTCTCCCCTCCTGTCCTCCTCTCTACCCCTCCTTCCTTCTCCCCGTGTTCCCTTTCTTTCTCTTCCTTTCTCCCCCCGAAACCCTTCCCTCCTCTCTCCCCGAACCCGACCCCCCCCACTCCTTCCTCTCCTGTCCGTACCCCGCTATCCCCTTCTATTCCCCTTTCCTCCTCTTCTGTCCACTCTCCCTCTTCCCCCACCTGGCCTTTCCCCTCCCGCTGCTCTCCTCACCCCGACCCCCCTCTCTACCTCTCCTCACCCCCCATCTCCTCTCTCCCCTTCCTTCTCTCTCGTTCTCTCCCGCAGCCGCGGGGTTGGGGGTGCCGGAGAATAAAGCCCAGAGGGCCGGAGCCCGGCGCCCCCCGCCCTCGCTGGAGTCCCCCCGACACGGGGCCGGACCCGCCCGGCGGGTCCCCCCATTGCAGTGTAATACACAGCCCGACAGTGCCGGGGTGCGGCTGTCCCGACATCACACTGGGGGGGCGGGCTGGGGTCAGGGAGGGCCGGGGGGAGTGGGGTGGGGGGGGGTTAGGGGGGGGCTCCCTCCTTAGGAGGGGGTCCCGGGGGGGGGGGGGGGGGGGTCAGGGAGGGCCCCCTCCGGAGGGGGGGGTCCCGGGGAGGGGGCGGGGCCTGGAGGGGGGAACTCCCCCCTCCGCCCCCCCTCCCCCGGACCCCCTCCTCCGGACCGGGACCCGGGGGGGAGGGGGGGGTGGGGGGGGTGGGGGTGGGGTGGGGGGGGGGGGTGGGGGGGGGGTGGGGGGGTGGGTGGGGGGGGTGGGGGGTGGTGGGGGGGGTGGGTGGGGGGGGGTGGGGGGGGGGGGGGGGTGGGGGGGGGGGGTGGGGGTGGGGGGGGTGGGGGGGGGGTGGGGTGGGGTGGGGGGTGGGGGTGGGTGGGTGGGGGGGGGGGTGGGGGTGGGGGGGTGGGTGGGGGGTGGGTGGGGGGGGGGGGGTGGGGGTGGGTGGGGGGGGTGGGGGGGGGGTGGGTGGGGGGGGTGGGGGGGGGGGGTGGGGGGGTGGTGGGGGGGTGGGGGGTGGGTGGGGGGGTGGGTGGGGGGGGGGGGGTGGGAGGGACGGTACGGTTTGTTCGTTTGCGATTTCTATACGCGCGCAGAGTGACGTGACCCGCTCTGCCTGCCCCCCTCCCATCCCACCCCCCCCCCCCCCCTCCCCCCCCCCCCTCCCCCCCACCCCCCCCCCCACCCCACCCCCCCTCCCACCCCCCCCCCCCACCCCCCCACCCCCCCCTCCCACCCCACCCCCCACCCCCCCTCCCACCCCACCCCCCCCAACCCCCCCTCCCCACCCCCCCTCCCACCCCCACCCCCCCCCCCCCCCCCCCCCCCCCCCCCCCCCCCCCATCCCCCCCTCCCCCCCCCATCCACCCTCCCTCCCCCCCCCTCCCACCCCACCCCCCACCCCCCCCTCCCACCCCACCCCCCCCACCCCACCCCCCCCTCCCACCCCCACCCCCCCCCCCCACCCCACCCCCCCTCCCACCCCACCCCCTCCACCCCCCCGGGTCCCGGTCCGGAGGAGGGGGTCCCGGGGAGGGGGCGGGGCCTGGAGGGGGGAACTCCCCCCTCCGCCCCCCCCCGGACCCCCCCCTCCGGAGGGGGCCCTCCCTGACCCCCCCACACCCCCCCCGGGACCCCCTCCTAAGGAGGGAGCCCCCCCTAACCCACCCCCACCCCACTCCCCCCGGCCCTCCCTGACCCCAGCCCGACCCCCCAGTGTGATGTCGGGACAGCCGCACCCCGGCAGTGTCGGGCCGTGTATTGCACTGCAATGGGGGGACCCGCCGGGCGGGTCCGGCCCCGTGTCGGGGGGACTCCAGCGAGGGCGGGGGGCGCCGGGCTCCGGCCCTCTGGGCTTTATTCTCCGGCACCCCCAACCCCGCGGCTGCGGAGAGAACGAGAGAGAGCGGGGGATGGAGGACGAGAACAGGGGAGCGGAGGGGGCGGTCAAGGGGACGGTGACAAGGACAGAGGGCAGGCGGGGGAGGTCGGGGTGTGCAGGGCACCAGGGGAGGGGACTCGGGGAATGGCAGCGGGGAGGAAGGAGGGGAAGGATTGAAGGCGGTTTTGGGGGAAAGGTATCATGGAGAGGTACCAGGAGGAACCACGGTGGGGGAGAAGGAAGGGAGGCAGGAGAGGACGGAGGGGTGCGGTAGGGTTGGGGTGTGTAGGGGGATGGAGGGTAGGGGGGACCCGGCCGGGGGGGGAGGGAGGGGAGGGCTAGGGGGGAGAGGGAGGGGGGGGTAGGGGGGGGAGGGTGTAGGGGGTGGGGGAGGGGAGGAAGGGAGGGGAGAAAAGAGAGGTATAAAGAAAAAGAAATACAAAAGAAAAGAAACGTAAAAGAAATATAGAGGAAAAGAGATATAGAGCCCGGCCCGGCCGCAACCACCCGCCCCGAGCGCCGAGGAGCAAATGGCTACGCCGGCCCCCGCCGCGGTTTAAATCCCCTCAGCCCCGCCCCGCGCAGGCGCTCTGGGGCCCCGCGCACCTGTGCGGCCCCGCCCCTCACACCTGTGCGGCCCCGCCCCTCACACCTGTGCGGCCCCGCCCCTCACACCTGTGCGGCCCCGCCCCTCACACCTGTGCCGGGCCGGCCCCGCCCATAAATCCCGGCGGATCCGCGCCCGCTCCGCTCCATGCGGGAATGATCGGCCCGGGGCGCGGCGGGAGCGCTGCGCGGAGCTCGGGGCGCTGAGGTGAGGCCGGCACCGGCATCGGGGCCCGGAGATCTGGATCCGGGTCCTGCCGGTGTCTGCCGGGGGTCCCGGGCGGAGCCGCTTCTCCTCGGCAGGCGGGATGCGGGATTTGGGCTGGGATGGGGGACTGGGATCGCGGCAGGCAGGAGGAGCCGCTCCGGGACGGGCGCCGGGACCGAGCCCGGCGCTGCCGCTTTGCTCCTGCTCCGGCCGGTGCGGGGCTGGGGTCCCACCGCGGCTCCGGGATGGGCGCCGGGAGCCGGGGCCGTTCTGCTGCCGGGCCCGGGAGGAGGGCGGCGTTCCCCGGAGCGGCGCTGGATCGCGGCTGGAAGCGGACCCGCGGCACCGGCCCCGGGGCGCCGCCGGGCGGGCGCGGAGCGGCGGCAGCGCCCCCGGTGCGGCCCCGGCCCCGCCGCGCCCCGGGGATGCGGAGCCGCCCCGGAGCCCCGAGGTCACCGCACCCCCCTGGGCGGAGCGGCGCCCTCCTGCCCCTGCCCCGGGCCCGAGCCCCGGGGGCTCCGCCGAACGAGCGGGGCTGGAGCGCCGCGGGCGGGAGGAGCCGCTCCGGGGCGGGCGCTGGGGCCGAGTCCGGACCGCGCCCGGTGCGGGACCGGGGCCCCGCCGGGCTCGGTCCTGCTCCAGCCGCTCACCCGACACCTGCCGGGGGAGACTCGATGCTCTCCCTCCTGTCCGCCCTTCCTCTGTGGCTCGCACCCCCCAGTGGAAGAACACGGGGGTTTAAAAAGCCGGTGAGAGGTGTTTGTTCTTTATTTTCAGAGCACAGGAGGTTCCGATTTGGGAAGGGCCACGAGGATCATCGAGTCAAACGGTGATGAGCGATTGGCCCACGTGGGGACTGAATTCAGCATCTTGGCCTTGTCAGCACCCTGCTCCAAGCACCTGAGCAACCTCAGGCTCATGAGGAAGGTCCTGCCTGGGATGGGGTGGCTGCTGCCAGCAAGGGAATGCCTGTGTCAATGTGGCTCCTTCCTTCCTGCTAGTCCTGCTCTGCACACCAGCCCCTAGACTGGCTCTAGAGCAGGACTGGCTGGTGTCTCACAGGACAGCACCAGACTCTTCAATAACCTTGGTTTCCTGCCCTTTCCAGGATTTACCCAACAGCTGTAAAGGTGCTCATTCCATGTCCCTTTCCAAGGAGAAATGAGCAGGACAAGCCCTGAGGGTTCACTTGGTCCGTGGCCAGAGTTCTTCAGGAGAGTGTCAGGGCTGGTCCCACCTGCAGAGGGGCGTTTCCTGCAGGTGAGTGTTCACAGCCCAAAATCCCTGCAGGTGCTGGGGCTGGGGCCACTTTCCTGGCCCGGAGCTGCACGGAGCCCTTGGTGACTCCCACTCCCAGGTGGGAATGTTCCTTGGTGTTTCCTCAGTGGTCCCAGCTGGCTGGGAATGCGGGGCAGGAGGAGGCCGGGAGCCCAGGAAGGGACCCAGCACCTCCTGCCCTCGGTGTTTGCAGGGGAGGAGCTGTGCCTCAGTGTCCCGCCACACCCGCATCCCGGGGATGGGCAGCGCTGGGATGGACGTGGATCGAGGGCTGCCCGTGGCTCCTCGGCCAGGGGCTGCTCTGACAGGCTCCGGAGCTGCTTCAGCCCGGACAGGCCCCGCCCGCAGCCCAGAATTACCGAGGAACAGCTGGAACATCTGGCCTTACCTGGGAATGTCAGCGCGGTGCGTTTGAGGAGGGGCTCAGGCAGCAATTCCCGGTGCCGACCTCCCGGAGCTCCTGCACACCCCCAGGTGTGTCCCAGCCCCCCAAACCCCTTCCCTCCCAGCCTGGGGCCATCATCCCTCAGCAGCGTTAAAGCCAGGGGGATCTTCCCCCCAGAAATGAAACCCCAAGCAATGCCCTCAGGGAGGCCTGTAAATAAAAGGTTAGAGTCAGGTGAGGTTTTGTTTGGATGAAGTTTGGAGTGTTTCAGGGAGCCAGCTGGAACCACAGAACTGATGGAAAACTTTCACAGGTGGGTCCCACTGGAGGTGTGCTCCAAGGGCAGAAACAATCCCAAGGTTGTTGTCAGAGCTCCTGGAAAGTAGATGGAATAAAATAAGGTAATTCATCCTCAATTTTCTGGTGGTCAGGGACAGATGGGAGAGCTGAAGAGCAGTATCCTTCTCTTCAAACCTGTGTACACCCAAGGGAATACTGTTTGTGCTCCGACATTAGAAGCGTGGGAAAAGAACGAGAGACTGCAGCCAAGATGCTTTTTTCCCCCTCTTTAAAAATTCACAAAAATGACTGGTTTTGTAAACAAACGTTTTTCTACTTAAGACTTTCCCACCAACTTCATTAAACAGAGGTACATCACACTTAAATCACCTGTTGAACAAAATAGCATAGAAATACCATTGTTTCCTGCTGGTGGTGAGAAAAATGGTGCAAACCAAAACATTCTGTCCTTCCTTCACTAGAAACTCACACAAATTCTTCTTCTTTTTTTTTTAAGTTATTTTTAATATCCTCTCCCTTACTTTTAAAATTTATCATTTACTTCTTTAAGGGCAACTACACTCTCATTATACCAACCAGAACTGCAGGACAATAGCATTACACCATCTTTTTTCATGGCTTGTATTAAATACAGTACAGAGAGGTCGAATTATGGCCAGCCACATGCCTTTGGTAAAATTAAGTCTGGTGAGATTACATTTCCTTTAAACTCAGAAAGCCACATGTTGAACTCATGTCGTGTTTTGAAGTTCAATTCTGTACAAACTTCTTCAAAGCAAAGTTAAACAGCTGTCACCCCACGCAAACGGCAATTTCTGAGGTGCTCCAGAAAAGAGATGAAAGGTTTGAACTTCAGAGAAGCTCTTCACATGCCTTGATCTCCGTTAGATTTGTGTTTCAGACGGGGTAGAAAGTCTAGTAAATGGTCACAAACCTACAAGTCCAAACAGCGATACCTGTGATAAATATTCTGTTTTTAAAAAATTTTCTGTAGTAACACATGTGGCTCATTTAAGCAACTGACGGTCTTCTCCTTTGAGGCGTTTTTTCCGGGGCTGTACAAAGTCATCGTCCGAGTCATCGGTAAGTTCTGGATTATCTTTTTCACTCTGGTTGTTTGGCTGTACAGGGAACTTCCTGTCAGGATAAAGGTTCCTTAGAAGATCTTCAAAGTAGGCTTCGAGTTTCATGCCAGCATCAGCCACTTCTGAGTTGGGCTGTTGGGTGAATTAACAACATCAGTGCATTGTGAAATAGCTTTCTACTTAGATCAGATGAGGTCTTCTAGGTACAAACTACCAAAAAAATCACTCATCAGCAAGAATGGCTATGGAGCACAGGGCCCCAGAGAGCACAAAAATACACAGTGTGGGCAGATCAACAGCCACCTGTGAGTTTTTTTCTCTGGCAGCTGACCACAAAAGCCACACTGCCTGGGAACTCAAAGCTGTATAAAGGTTCTAAGAACTCTTAAATCCTGACTGGGATCAGAGTTGTGTTGTGCTGTGAAACAGATATGTCCTCACGGTGTTAGAAACTTCTCTAGCTTACAGATCTTTCTAGTAACACTGAAAATGTTACTGGGTAGACAATGACTGTAACATGGAAGACTGAGCAGTCCGAAAGTCATCCACAGCTACCACAGCTACCAGTTTCCTGAAGCTGGTATCACCAGTGTAGGAGTAAGCCCTTGCTCTCAAAGGTGACTGGATGAGAACCCCATGGAGGCCACTTGGAGCAGCCTTTATTCCCACTGTAACTCTCATTTTGTGCTACACTCAGAACCTGCATCCCTATTTCGCCACATGTTCCCTTATGTACACTAGGGGATAATAACAAATTATTGAAATCATAAGAGTGAGTACAGAGCTCCCAGAATGGAAACCCCACTGAATTCAAGATCTGACACAAGCAGGACAAAACCAATTTTTAGATCATAATGCTCACCATTAACCTGTATGATAAAAAATTGTCCTTGTCTTTAGCTGCTGTCAGGCCATTCAGCTGTGTTTGTTACCATCCTCCTCCCTTCTATGGAGAGATGTCCACTGCAGAGTTATCTCAGACACAGCAGAGTTAAATCTGATCTGTTTTCACTGCAGTCTCATCATCAAGTAAGTTTAATACAATAAATTCTTGTGTTATAAGTTGTACCCCCATTACAGTTATACTGAAAGCAACTAAACCAACAAAGCTGATAAAGTATGTACTTTTCTAACCTCATTAAATTCAGCACAGTTGTGGAAAATCAGTCTGAAATCAGCCACAAAATCTTCTGGCTTTGTGTAGAATGAATTGGTCACTTCAAGTCTTTTCTTGATGGTTGACAAGTCCATGGGCTTCTTGATTATTTTGTAGTAATCAGGGACCTAAGTGGGGAAAAAAAAAATCCAAAATGCAATGATGTTCATAATTTATTGTTTCATATATCTTTAGATTTGAGGGAGTAGGCAAGCTTTAGTCTCATCATCAAGGTACAACTCAAAAGATTGAAAAATTGCACTTTTAGCATACATGCAGACAGTTTCTGGAATAACAGTGATGTATTACAATTTGTTGGCTAAAATATACTCTTTCCAATGCCTATTTTAAAATCAAAGAGAAGCACATAAAACCTCCACTAACTACATATAATAGAGAAAATGAGTTGGTTTGGATGTTATTTTAAGTGTAGTCAAATAAGCTATTAAGTTTCATTCTCAGGACCAGCATATGAAATAAGTTGTTTGAAATGCTGGCAAATTTCAGAGATATCAATGGTTTTCATACCCGAACTGTAGCTGTAGGATTACAATTTTTTTTCTTTAGAAAGAATAAGAAACTAAATAAGAACAAAACCCAGTATGTTTGTATTTTTTCCTACTTTCTCCTAACTGGATTCATGTTTTTAATACCTGAATTTAATAATGACCATAATATGAATAATCAATTAATCTCTTGTGCCATTTCTTATTAGTAAACTCATTCAAATGGAGTAAAGGCTGCATAGGAACATACTGCTTTTTGATGAACTCTTTCCCCATTGACTTGTCTTGCCCACTGCCTTGTCATGAAGAACATCTTTTCATCTGATCACAGTGGTAGCTCTTTATAGCTTTGGACTTGTATTGCACCCAGGTACTGTTTACCATTTTAAACTGACAAATTTCAAGTCAATAAGAGATTCAATTTTGTATTAGTACTGTGGAGTACCCCAATTCTCAAAATCATGTAATGTTTAAAACGGCCAAATATATCCCAATTTACCTTCTCAGTGATGTGAAGTTAGCAGTGTTAAAACTTACTTTTTAAAACTATTTTTGAAGTATTAAGTAAAATCAGTTATTGTGGAACTTTACTTGTAAATCCCCTGCCAACCCAATGTTTCAACTTTTGATTTTCCCCTTCAGACAGTTTGAATAAAACCAAACATGTTTAATGTACTGAATGCCTGTGGAATTTTACTTATGACAATGGACTTTAGAATGCCACTAGAAACATGCCAAATATGCTAACATAAAATAGAAAGAAATGAGGTACATACTGTGGGAGGAACTGGATCCTGAAAGGCAGGACTCATTTCATGACAGTAGAGGTATAGCAGCAGTCTTTCACACTTCTGTGCCAAGAAAAATAGATATCCAGGTAATTCAGGAATCCTACATGGCTTATTCCAAAATCACAAACTACAAAAATTACAAAACTAAGTATTCCCCCTTTTTCTTTGTGTATACAAATATGTTAAACTGGATCTTAAGCCTTGAAAGAGATTGTAAAAAATACTTCTGTGATTTTATGCTTGCTGATGCCTTATCAGAATCTTTGCAGGGCTTATAACTTGCATTTAATGCAAAATACAAGTAGAGAACATGTAAAGAATGGTGTGACAAAGTCTGTCCTTCACACACAGACACAATTGATGGGCAATGGGATCTGTCCTAAGATAAGAACAGCAGGGGAGAATTGCATTGCAGGAAAAACTGTCTTAATTAATTATACTTGCATAATTAATGCATTTCAAGGGTGGGGAAGTGGTGATGGTTGTGATTGATCTTGGTACACACGGGCCTGTGAAAGGGTACAAAATGCTCCTGGAGCCTGGGCCAAAAGGCAAAGTGACCTCCTGAGGCTGCAGGGCAGCTTCCAGGTGGATCCCCCCTGCAGGGACACCTGCAGGGCACAGACCTGAGGATGGGAACACTCAGGTTTGCATAGGTGAGTAAAAGGTGGAGATAAAATCCTAATGCTGCTCCATGGGTGCTTTGCAATTGTGCTTTCTACAAACCTGCAGAGTTTCCAGCTGACCCTGTCTATGTTATAGCCCTTCAGACCTGCTTAAATTATACATTGCATTAGCAATATTTAGATACTGCATCAGAAAAAAAATCTCATCATAATCACCCACATAATCAGTCATACATCATTAGCCTGGGAGTCTCCTTCTGCTACTCTTCCATAAATGGTTCTACATGTAGAATAAGACGCCAAATGAAATACTAATTTCAGTGTATTTACATAAGTTGCCAGCTGAAAACAAGTAAACACTGACAAAAGTTTTTAATACAGTTAAAAATTGTTTCAGCTTTGAAGTTTTAAATAATAATTTTATCCTTACCCTGCGGTCTATGGGTGCCAAACCCACGGTGTCTTCCAATTTTCTTTTTTCAGAGCTGTGAGTGGGTCTATCACAGTCATATTCAACTTCTGGCTTGGACAGATCTCGACAGAATGTACAAATCCACTCTCCACTAAAAAAGACAAACAGACACACTGACCTCAGTGAGGGAGCACTCCTTTGCCAGGAGGCTTTCCACATATTTCTGGGTAAATCCCTCATCTGTGGGGTGGGTTTTCTCTGCATCTCTGTTGTTTTCTTGGTGGTGGTACCAAGGGCTGCTGGCAAAAATGTTTTACTACAACCTTGTTTCCTTTTAGTGGCACCGGTGTCATTAATGGTGTCCTAGCAGAAAGACAGACAGATGGGCTCTACCTTTGTCAATACTGAATTTTTTCACTTGAGCTCACAGGATTTAAGGATAGCACTGTCAAGAGCCCTGCACAACCATAACCACAGAGAGACTGAAGGAGTCATATAGACTGAACAGAAGGAAAAGTGTTAGTCTTATATGGTAAGAACTACATGCCCTCTAAAAGCTTGATCTACAGCACGTTACTAATCTATATAGATTACCATGGACAGGATTCTTTGTAAAACTGAAAATATTTCACTCCCTAAAATGTTCAGATAGTCATGATTTTACCAGTTTGCTTAGGACAATACTGGGGATTTAAAGGTCAGCATGAGATAATAAGATAATTAGTTCTGCAAGCTATGTCTGCTGATTGTTGAACACAATTTATGACATTGAGAGTTTTGAAAAAAACTAGGAAGAGTCTATTTTTTACTATAGGTCTCTACAAAAAGAGAAGAACTGCACACTTGCAGGTGACCACCAGAGGGCTGAATCGTCACACAAGAAAGAGACTCCAGCAATAAGCAGTTCTGAGACCAACTGCATGTCTGTACCCAGAGGTATGTTTTGATAAACAGTTTCATAAATGGGAAGTGATTTCTGCAGCACCCTTTATTTCACTTCAGTAGTAAGGCAGAGGAATTTACAGATTTAAAAAGAAAATCTTACTGTTTTCTATTCAGACCTATCCAAAGATTTTCACCATCTGCCAGATTTAGCATCCAGTGGTGAATGATGAGCATTTTGCTTCAAGAAGTTTTACTTTCTGCTGTCTTAACTTCACAGAATGATTTATGACAGTGTCACCTCTGCCTGGACTAGCCTTACAGAAATGTGACAGATACACCAAAATCAACCCAGGCTATGACCTAAAGATCTTTTGATACAAGAAAACAAGGAACAAACTAGAGGAATGATGCATTAAAATATCCAAGATGCAGGAAGAATGTGATAGGTTGGAATGAAGGAAAAAATGCAAAAAAATGCTTTATAAATCTACACGAGAACATTGTTTTAAACTGAAAGAGGGTAGATGCAGACTGGATACAATGAACAAGTTTTTCACAGTGAGGACTGTGAAAAACACAGGTTCCCCAGAGAGGTGGTGGATGCCTTGTTCCTGGAAACATTGAAGGCCACCTTGGATGGGGCTCTGAGCAACCTGATCTAGTTGAAGATATCCCTGAGCATTGCAAGTGGGTTCAAATTAGATGGTCCTTATAGTTCCTTTCCAACCCAAAACACCCTGTGACTCTATGAACCTATGAAATTGCTCTATCCACCTGAAACAGGAACAAAAAGCAACCATGGAAGCAGCAGACTGACACCTCTGACACAATAATAACAAATTATTTTGTGTGTTTGAAGGAACTAATGCTAAGAGACTAAAGTTTGTTTGGCAGACTTAGAGTAGGGAGAAAAAAAAAGCAATCAACCCCACAAAGATGAGAACCAAAACCTGATATATCAGAAGTCAGGAGGAAACTTCACCTGACTGGGCTCTGGAGCCCAGGAACACACGCACCTTTACAGACCTGAACACCTGCCACCAAAGTGGTTTTTGGCTCTCTTGCCCTCAGACATCATTACCTCAGTTTCCACTAAATGATCCAGTAAAAATGAAGCATTTTAAAGACTTGCTATTGAATATTTAATTTTAATAGAAACAAAGTCTTGTAAAGCATAGTTATCTACCTGCTTCAAAATTACTTTTTGTTTCTTTTCCAGAAAGACTATTTCTTAAGTGCTTACTGTAACCTTACTGGTTTTCCTTATGGCATAAAGCTGTACCATAACATTGTTTTAATAAAAAAACCCTGGAAATTGAAGTTTAAAAAGTAAGAGAGACATTTTTATGTGCCACTTGAAATGGCACATAAAAATGACATTTTATGTGACATTTAAAAGAAAGATATACTTCCAGAAATGTGCCTGTTCAGAGTAGCACAGAAATGATCAACGTGCTAATCTAAATTGCTATCCAAATGTTTTACACCAGTAAACTATGCTGATATTTAATCAGAAAAGTTAATACTTATAAAAACATTAACCAATGAGCGTGTTATGACCAATGTTTTTATCCTCTAATACCAACAAGCTTATTGCATGGCATTTCCAAGCTGGGGCATTGACAAATGCCCTTTATTTTAACCAAAGACACTAATTCCAGAAAAAACTCCAGTAATGCTTATAACAATAATCTACTTAGAACTTGATTTTAAAGTCAAGAAACTGAGCAATGGTTTTGTAACAGCCAGTGAAGAAAGCCTGATGCTTGGTTCAACACTGACTGTTATAAAATATGTCAGTTGCTACACATCCCATGCCTGGAATGTAGCCATGTTTAGCACTGAAGTATGGTATTCAATACTATAGCACTTCAGATTTTTCCTGTAGACATGTATTAATTTTTCTTTTCTTTTTTTAAGTCATTATTATTAAGAAATTTAACTATTTTCAGTCACCCCTAAAACATTTTGACACATTACTAATTCTGCGTCCTAGTTTTAATAAGATGCCCTAGATGTGATCTTGCTTAATTGTCAAATAAGCGAAGAGTTTTACTAGGTTTTGTAGAAAAATATACAATTAAGCTGAAGTTTCATGAAAATTCAGATTTTCTCCAACTAATAAAACTCCTGGATACTTTAAAGAAGGCACTGCTCTTCCTCTGAGACTGGAACTTCTTACCCTGGGTTTCACAATACAAGTCTAATGTCTTTTAGTGCAATTTTAGATGGAATTGAAATAGTCAATTACCTTGGAAAGCTCATCAGCGTAGGGACATGACAAGAAAGATGGAATACTTTGGGACACTTCTCACAGCAAAGGAGCTTCCCTCCGTTTTGACACACAGCACACCAATCTTCATTGGGATCATCCTCTTTTCTGCCCTCGCCAGTGTGGGAGGATCCCATCCATCCTGTTTGCCCAGGGAATGTGCTCTCCTGCAATGCCCCTGGCTGGTCATCTGTGCTGTCTGGTGCATCTGTTCTTAGCATAGCTTCCTCAGAAGTGGAATTGTGACTGGTATCCAGCAGCAAGGAAGTAAGTATGGACTGCAGGAAGAAACGAAGGAAGTCAGATTACAGTATTTATGTGAATTTACATGACCCTAAAAACGTGCAAACTGACCTGAATAACAGATTTACATCCCAGCAGCCATTCAACTTGCAACATGCATGCAGAAATTACTAACACTCTATAACACAGGCAAATGAACACAAGAAATTAGCTATGAAAGGCTATTTACTGCTCCACCAATAAAAAACTCATCTCTGATGGCCCAAAAATCTAGTACCTTGTTTATGGATATTCCTGCACTATGACTAGAAACACTTACTAGCAGCACCTCAAAATTTCATCTCTGCAAGTTATTCCTGGATTTCCCAGGTTTTGAATGGATAAAAGCAGTCTGATCACACCATTTAATTTAATTGGCAGTAGGGCTAGTTTGATTTTGAATTTCACTTCTTCCTTTTACAGCTTTTTAGCTTTCCCCTGAAACAGTTCCCAACAGAATACAAGTAAATTATTCTAGTCCCCATAAATACAAAATACCCTGTGAAGAGAAAGAAGATCTTTCTAGCTGTAATATTACATTCTGAGGCCGGGGTTTCTCCTCCATCTCTTCCTTCACAACAACAATTGGGAAATCAAAGTTCTCGTTTGATGCACTTGTCTCCTGTTTAATTCTGATCGGCTCCAACATAACAACAGGGACTTTGTGTGTAGAGTCAGCTCCTGGTGGCCTGCTGGAGGAGCCAGAACTGTAAATGACAGGAAAGAGGCAGGGGAAAAAAGGAAATTTGGAATCAGAACTGGACACCTTTTGTACACTGATGCTTTGCAAGACCTCAGGATGTTCATCTACTTTGTTTCTTTGAATCCAGAGTAGTATTCCCTTTATGAAATGCAACATCCAAGCTTATTTCCTTTGATGTATACTGAAAAAGCATTACCAAATGGGAAAATTTTAAGGGTGCAGCCCCAAAACTAAAGAATTAATCATGGTCTGGCCCATTACTGCAAAATTTGCAAATAATCTCAGTTTCTTTCAAATCATACACAAAAAAAAGCACCTCCACTGAACATTGTAAACTACACAACCGGATAAGGCATATAAAACACATATATTTACATTATCTTGGAAAACTTTGAGAGCCTTGCAGCTCCACCAAAATTTGGACCCTACTTTTAGAAATAGATCTGTCTCTTTTCATGTATTTAATCCTAACAGGATGAGAATGGACAATCAAACTTGAAAATACCTGCTTATCTTTTTAAATAAAAATGAAGAATTTAAATCTAACAAAATTAATTCAAGCAGCAGCATATCAAATCACATTTTTAAATGCAAGTAAAGACTCTTCAAACAACCATTTAAAGTGTTAATTTAAACTGTTCATAAGAATCCTTCACATCATGTAAATGGAATAGAGCAAAAGGTATTCCAGAATAAAAAGCACCTGCATTTCCAACTCAAGTAGGATCAATGTCATCTGATTTTCCTCTGCATGAAAAATTAATCTCATGTCAGATGTATGCTCTAATTTATTGCAACGCATTAACAGATCTGCACTCTTTAAACAACGCTGTGTAAATATATTTGTTCATTAATATTCTATCAGTAAGGGATACAAACATTTGTGTAGACTCTCAGTGGATATCTAGTGATCACTTAACTGTATTACAGCAGAAAATCCTTAATAAACCTCTTTGTAGCATCAGTTCCTTAAATCTGAAGTAATTTACAGTTCCATAAGGGCTTTCAATATCCAGCTTTTTCCTTTAGCCGATTTTTCTGAACTTAAAACCTAATTTATAAATGGTATTCTTTTAATAACACCAACCTAGCCATCATTTACAGAGTCAATAGATCTTTAGCTGTTCCATTACTACATTACAAATGAAATTACTGCTTTTAGAATGCAAAGAGTGCTTAACAACCATCAGGCCTGACCTGTTAACAGGGAAGGTGAGACAAATCGACATCTTTATGTATTAAAGAGAGAAGAGACTGAGGCATGTTCTGTGGAGGTGGAAGTTACATTTTCTTCTCTCTCACTCTGTCCTTACCTCTCTCTGCTCCCAACACTGGAGGCACTGGGTGAGCGAATTGGAGGGTGTACGTTTGTCACACTGATTCCTCCTAGGAGAGAAGGATCAGATCAGAACAGAACACAGGCCTGTGGCAAGTCTGAGATACGACTCAGAGAAGTACACGAGTTTTGGGTAAAATTTCCCCTGCAGCGCGAAATATCTAATGTAATATATTTTCATGAAAGGATGAGAGGCATGAGCTAACAGAGGGAAAGAGGACTAAGAAAGGGCCCGTGACACGCAAGCAGGCTGATGGGTGAGCACCTTGCCTGGCTGACCTCTCCACCTGGTCACTGCAGGCCGTTTTGTCTTATTAAATTCAAGCAGATCTCTCAGGAGAACTGCCAGGAAACTCAGAACTGGCGAGCAGGAAGAAGTCTGGGGGGCAGATGAGAGAGACCAAAGGTCTGGGGCCCAGAGAGGCGAAAGCCTTGTGAAGGAGATTGCTGAGCAGCAGCCCTGAGGGGCCTGAGTGGGGTCAGTGCTGCCTGTGAGTGCTCTGCCCGCTGTCCCTGCTATCCTGCAGGAATGTGGGACCGCTGCATGGCACCAGTGCTCCCTGGGAATTCCCATTCACACAGCCTTCCCACAGCTCAGGTCAGAAAATGGGAGTGAGGAACAGCTGCCACCAGCATGGTGAGCCACCATCACGGTGACAGGAATCCCCTGGATCCTCCAGGTTCCAGCACAGGAACTTCTCTGGTCATCCTGTGTCAGTGCTGCACTCAGTGGTGCCACCCAAGGCACCATTTCCAGTCTGCTGTTACACGCTGTCTCACTTTCTCAAATACTCGTCTCTTACCACAGCTGCTAGGTTTTAGTCTGCTGTACACCTGAGAGTGTCACTTTCCTATGGATTTCTATCCAATTTGCTAAACTCTACCCTTTTTTTCTCCTCCCTGTTTTTAAGATCTGGATGCTTGACTTTTGATCACAATGCTAAAATATTATCTCAACTCTACCTCCTGCTCAGGTTTCTACAACTTTGCATTCACTTTCTCATTTCTCATGTTTAATACAAAACAGAGTTAATTCTGATGTCAGTGTTAACACTGCCACATTTGATTTTTCAATTGCACCACATTCAATTACCTGAGAGGCCTGGTGATGGTACTGAGGAATTTGGTGACTGCACAGTCCTGTTTGAAGGGGGTTTTGGCTGATTCTGCTCTGCAGTGCCATCCTTCCTTACAGCACTATCCAGTGTGATGTTTCCTGAACAATCAATCTAAAAGATGGGGAAGCAAAGGGAAGCAGTTAGTGTTGAGAAGGGAAAAATCCCCTCCAAAACAACAAAACCCAAACAAAACCAAGAAGCCTATGCCATGCTGTTATTTTGAAAGTGAAAATGAATTTCACCAAATTTTACCCATCCTAAAGTGCGATGGTTACTTTAAAACATATATTCTTGCTTTCCCTAAAAGAAAATGAAATAGCCAAATCAAGATCGGGCTCCATTTTAAGAACAGATAATTCTGTAAGTGCCAATTTTTCTCCACAGGCTACAGAGAAGGCTTAAATCAAACACTGGCTTAAATCAAACTTTCACACATTGAAGTAAGTTTATCTCCACACCTTCTTTAGACTTGCTCACAATAAATACTCTCAAAAAGACAATATGCTATACACAAACTACCCCTTAATCCATGGGTGTTGAACAGGACTGGAAGGAACTCAAAGGACAGTCAATCCCATCTGTCCCACATACCCTCTGGACGGGAGCCATGCATATTGACTCAAAATGGAAACAGCAAACCAACACTTGTTCTTTCCACCATGGCTCAGACCAGACGACTAAACTGTATTCCAGGGGCTCCCTGGGCAGCAATCTAACTTTCCATAAAAATGACACGTTCTGGTTTGAAAGGGAAGACTGACTTTTTGAAATGTTTGGTTTCTTCCAATATGTTAGGCAGTTATGAGGGGTAAAAAAATCACCTACACCTCAGTAACTCCAACATGGACCTCTAGCAAACATGTACCATTCAGAAGATGCTATAAAAGAGAAGCTTAGAAGGTTAAGAAATTATGATCTTACTATGCTCTATCACCAGCTCACAGGCATGTTAGAGAATATATGAAGAAGTACCAAAAGGAAAAGATGTAAGGAATATATCCATTATGCTGACCAATAACACCTACCCAAGATAGCTCTTTCAATAAGTTAAAAATAGATTTAAAAATGTTAAAAATCTACCAGAAATGGCATCAGCAAACCACTGCTATCTATAGACACTGGTAAATGAAAGCTAAGCTAACACACTTTTGTAAAGATCATTATGAGGGCTGCAGAAAAATATGCAGCATATAAATAAACATGTCCAATTAAAATTATAACTTGTAATACTACTTTTCTTAGTTGTCCTAACAGCTGTCCCCCAGAATGGTTCTGGGTATTTCCAGCAACGTGCAGGCAACTCTGCATTGTTTATTTCCTAGAATTGTCTCATTCTGACAAACAGAATTTCAGTCTAAAAGATTTCTATTTCTCACAAAGGTTAAGACTTCAAAACAGAATCTGTAAAACATTGCCTCTGTGTCACACTCACATCAGGGAGAGATGGCAGACAGTAGGAGCTACCCACTGGGGAACTCAAATCTATCACAGGGGGACCGTAATTCTTCCCATCACACCCAGCAGCACTGGTGACTGTGGGGCTGGATGGAGTCGATGTTGTGCTGCTTGCAGTTGAAGGGGTGGATGAAGCTTGTCCACTACTGATCTGCCACTAAAAAAAAGAGACAAAAACCCACAATTCAGCATTTTTTTTTCTTTGCAACAGGTCACATCTACTGAATATACCGATAAAAGCAGCAGCTTAGTTCAGAAAGCTGAATTCAAACACAAAATTTCCTGATTTATTCTTAGTTCAGAAAGCTGAAGTCAAACACAAAATTTCCTGATTTATTCTTAGTTCAGGAAGCTGACTTCAAACACAAAATTTCCTGATTTACTCTCAAGTTCTCATTTGAAGAAACAATCTCACAAGACAACGGAAGATGACAAGTAGTTGAAAACTATGAATAGAAGAAATTAATTCAAATTCTTAAATTCAAAGCTATACCTCAGTGTTAAGTATATATTAATATTTCATGCTTCATTGACAGTGCTGTGGAAGAAAAGTAACAGTTTTTGCTAAATAAAAGCATTATAGATAATAGGCTCAATGCACAACTGCTCCAGTGCTTTACCAAATAAACCTGCATGCCTTGAAGTCTTTGATGTTCCCTTAACAACACAAAATAATTAAGAATTTGAAATGCTGACTGGATCTCCATCCCCATATACATTTAACACCATGATATGAAGTGCACAGTCAAATTTCAAGACCAAATTTCTTTCTCATTTACATGTATGCAGTTTTCAATGACTTTAATGGAATTTCCTGGCAACTGCAGGCAAAATCTGACTCTGCTGAATTCCTTTTTAGTCAGTCGTTCTATTTACTGGCCTCTAGTTTCAGAAAGACATTACTGAATAATGAGATATCTTGAAAGAAAGGATTGTAAACAGGCCGGTCTTCAGAGGCACAGAATAGAAGTTACTTTTTATTCTCACAAGTTCTCTTAGACATTGTTCAGCTTTCTTCCATTTAGCTGATTTAGTTCTCTGACATCATAAGCATTGCAAACATAACTGGTATTAGACCACTTTTTGGGTCACAGATTTGATTCTTTCCTGCTTACCTGCAGCCAGCAACTCATGTGGTAATAATATGAGCCTTCCTACACACCAAGAACACACACAAGGTGTTTGCTTCTGCCCCAGTTCAGCTGCTGATCAGCTGGGCATTGATCAGTCTCAATGATCAATGAGACTGATTGATCTCATCAATCAGCATAGGTCCAACAAATGTGGACACTCTTTTTCTCCCCTCACCTGTAAGAGTTCAGATTTGCCATACTCTGTGGAACCATGGCAGCTCCAGCTTTTTAGTCAAAGTTCTATCTGGTTCCTGGTGAAGTCACTATCATCAAGATAAACTGGGATTTTCTGATTTGTCTACTCACTGACTGCAGTGTGCAGACCATGGCCATGCTAAGTTTTGCATAAATGGTCAGAAACCACAGCAACAGCAAGTAAGAGAATGAAACACCTGCACAGCACACACAGCGGCTCACCTCCCTAATGCTTCAGCTGCTTAGAACTGTCAAAATGAAAGCAACTTGACAGTTATCTCATTTTAAAAACTATGGGTATATTGTCAAAGAAAAATAATGTAATCTCTGTTTTAATTGAAAAGCCCTCTAGAAGTACAGTATAGAAGATGATATAAGGCACATTTGATGTTTAATTTCTAAATGGAGAGTGAAAAGGGAAAGACACTCTACCTGTTTTATAGCTTGCTGTGCCAAGAATGCCATTTGCAATGGGTTGGGCTTCACTGCTGGCCTTGGTAGGTTCTGATTTTGGGGATATCTCATCTGTTGTGCAGGAAGAGCTGAACCATTGGGCTTGGGATTATGATTCTGAAAATGAATCAAGCGCGGAGGTGCCTGCATCAAAACAATAAAAACAGTTCTGCAAGTTAGCTGAAATCTGCTCTATATTCCACGCATTTTTTACTAAATGGTCCTTTAAAACTTCTGAAACTCCTCATAAATTATATGCAAATAAATAGTACTACACCATTTATCTGAATTATCAAAAACATTGAATTTCAATGTTAAAACCTAGTAGACAGTTTTGAATTATTTTATTACATGAAGAGACATAACAAGAGCCAGTGAGAGTGTTTCCACCTTTGAAAGACACATGAGAGAATCATTGGGTGTTATGCAAAATAGACATAGCAAAAAAAATTAATGACATTAACTTTTTGATCACTTGACAAAAACACAAAAATGTTGCTAAGCATTGTATATGGCTGGATACAACAAGATTTTATTTTTTTTAAGAATAAATAGAGGCTGGGTGCTACCATGCATTTTGCAAGGCAAGTTTAAAATGACCACTCATTTCTCAGTAAAGAAAATGCCCTCTAAACCATCTCCATAGCTACGTGCTGAAGGTGAAGATATCTGAAGTTATGGATCTAGGTTTAAGTGCTTTCCTTTTTTTCTTATCTTACTTTACTTTTTCCTTCATTGCCATGAAAAGAACAAACTCCGCTAACAGTCCTAACTTACCTGATGAGAAGCAGGAGGTTGTTGCATGGCTCCTGGCATTCTTGGGCTTGGAAGAACTACTGGTCCTGCTCTGCGCTGAGCTTGCTGCCTCTGAGCCAGGACCTGCTGCTGCATGTGCTGGAGGCGGAGCTGAGCTAAGCTGATCTGCGTGGGGAACTTGGAGAGCTGGTTGGGAGGTAAGCTGCCTGCTGGCTGTAAGTTTGCTTCCATCACAGGGCTCTTGGGCATATGTGGTGGAGTTTCCTTATCTTCAATTACCAAAGAACCTATTTTAACCAAAATAAATAAAAAAATAAAATCAATACTGAAGTATGGCAGTTAGCAGAAATGCCATCACACTGTCAGTGATATGTGGTCTGACTAGAACTCAAAAACCATTTCTGAAGTAACTTGTTTGTTTATTCAGACTTTATTTTTAATTCAAGGGTTCTTGTATCTAGCTTATCTACAGAAACTGAACACATCTGATCATAAACAAAATGGCCTGAAGGCTATGATTTCTGAAACTAGATAAACAACCATAATTTTGGTTTTATCTATCACATAAACTGTTACAGGAACCCCAGTGCTGGTCTATACAAGTGCCATTTCTATTGTAGCACTTTTCAGAATGTAAGGGACCATATTTCAGAAGTTCATTAAATAAACATACACAAGAAAAAGAGCCCACCAAACACAGGAAAAAGTCAGCTCATTACAAACATCTCAGCTGAGCAGCAGTTCAGAGTTATCACCACACAACCTGACAGCTGGTTTCTGGAAACATGTTTCACTTTCTATTCCTGTCTCTAAGAAAATTATTTATAAAGAAGGAACTGGGAGAATTTCCTCGCTACAATCCAATGTCCTCATGTCTGGGAAAAGGAGCTTGTTTGCCTTGAAGAACTGCCATAACACTTTCTGCCTCTGACATGGTAGAGAATCACACATTTGTACCTCTGTATACTGAGAGAGCACTTTCTGAAGAAGGGCAGAAAATGTCCCACAGGTATCTCACAAAGTCTTCTGCACACAACAGAAAAACAAAAATTCCCACCAAGATAACAGTGGAGAGAGAAAGGAAACACAACTACAGTCAAAATCCTGAAATACCTCTGAAACCTTTAAGTCCTCCTGCTAAGCTGTTGAGTCCTTAGGGTGCTTATCATCATGGCTGAAAGCTGTCCCATGGGAAAGGACCTGGGAGTGCTGGTTGACAGCAGGAACCCTTTCTTTGGATGTGAGATAGGGTTAAAAACTGTGTTCCTTGTTTCAGAAGTCAGAAGTTAGAAGTACTGACCAAAAAACTGAAAGCTGCTACTTTCACCATCACATATACCTTTCAAACAAGGTAAGTTTGTAAATACTTTATCATAGTATTCATAAATAATACTTTTCTCCATGCAATGCACTTTGAATGTTTTTCATGGTTAGGGAAATACATTTAACAGAGTTAATGAAGGAATGAATAGGGCAGAGGCTATCATCACAAAAAGAAAGCTGCTTTCAAAATAGGATCAAGACACCAAAGCACCAATAAAAATGTATCATACCTAGATTGAAAATATTCTGAGCCCAGAAGCTAGGATCACAGTGGAACTGGATGGTGTTGTTAGTCACTGGGGAAGGATCACACCTGGCTCGGAGGAGATACCGTAGTCGATATGTAATCTAGAACAAGAACAAAAACAAGGTTTGGTGGTTTTTTTCCCCTCTGGGGCCAGAGCCATGTATCTGAACAGCACAAAAAATCCAAAAATACACCCCCCCACACACCAAACAAAGCAACCAATCAAAAAAACCCACTAACAAAATCCCCCCTGAGCAAGTCCCTAGAGAATTGAGGTTAAAGACAGAGAAACTTGTTCAAGCTACAAATAGAGAGGTATTTTTAACATCCTTCCTTTATTCCTAAAGTAGTTTTAAAAAGAAGTTAACTACAGCCTAAACAAAAAGAACAATTCTTCCCTGTAGAAATATATATCCCTCTAAAAACTTGGCCATTATATTCAATGACTCTAGCTACTTGCAAGTGAAGTTCAGATTTACATAACCACTGATTTTTTTCCCCCCACGAATCTATTTTAGCCCATTCATTTTTCTTTCAAAGTATGCCATTCGTTTGGCAACAAGTATGATCACAGGGAATTTTCTTTTGTACTAAATTTAAGTTTCCTTCAGACAGCCAAAGAACAGATTTTTATAAACAGTCTTTGAAAAATCAGATTCACAGATGTTTTCAGATTTTTCCAAATGCCTTGGTTCCACAGAACTGGACTGTGATTACACAAGAGAATATTCTACCAAATGCTCACAATTTATCTAGTTCCTAGAAAGAAAATGTTGTCTTGCAGTTGTTTCACTAGAAATGTCAGGGACTGATATACCAAAATAAAACAGGCACTAATTTTAGAACCACACACAGCAGATTCTGAAAAAAAAAAAAAAACCAAAACAACTTGGAGAGTTCAACCCTTGTTTTTCTTGATAGATTATTTCCTGGAAAAGAGATATACTTGGCAAAATCATCTTAACTGTTTAAAATTATACAAGTTTTTTTCTTTCAATTATAGGCAGGTCAGTTCAAGACCATACTCAAAAAAACATTTAACAAGACTCAAGATTTTTAAATTACCATGGAAAGATTTTAAGTGCATTATTATTATTTTGGATAGAGATTTCCTTAGGACTTTTGTGTACGTTACCAGAATCAAGTAGATGGCCCTACAGAAATTCTAGGCTTTTGTCCTGTTACCATTACTGGTCACACACAGTTCCTGTCAGAGTTTGCTCCAGTATTTTCCTACTATTGTGCACACATATGTGTTGTGGATAAACTCCTGACTGCTCACCCTGTTAGTGAAAAGTGCAGCCTGAGAGCACAGCCCCCGAGCTCCAGTGCTGCCTTTAATTCTGATGGGCATTCCTTCCTCTCTCCTGGATGTGCTGGAGCAGAAGTTTCACAGCTCTTCTACACAAAATGCCTTGGAAATAGATTTTTCCAAATGCCCACAGATGGGTTATCTACTCAACTCCCAGGCAGCACCAACTTTCTAAAGCTCAATCTGTTCTTTTGAAAAATACTTTTCATTTGCTGAGGCCTTCTGGGCTAGATGCTCCTTTCTTTCAGCTGCCTAATGTTTATATGATTAACGTGCCTGAAACACAACTTGTTTTCTTACTCATGTAGCACAGTCTTGATGGCAACACTAAGCAATTATAAACAAAATGACTCAGTTTGATGTCCTTTTTCTCTATTCAATTTTAAAAAGTACGACTAGCTGAGGCAGTATAAGGCAGATCAAATGAATTTAACTACTTGAAGTTGATAAAAACAAGTAATATTCCACTATAGCCTGCAGTATCAATAATGGGTATCCAAAAAAAGAAAACAACCCACCACCAAAAACCAACAGCAAATCCAAATCCAAACAAACAAACCCCACCAAACACCCTGGTAGGTTCTCAACTAACCAATTAACCAATAAAAAAAAATAAAGAAAAACAACTTTGTGAACCAGTTTATAGGAACTGGGGGGGAAAAGCATCTACCATCTTTATCTTTCCTCACATTGCCCCAGGTTTCTGCTATCAGGCAAGTACAGTCTAGTAACCTTTGGAAAAATCAAGGTAAGCTTTTGGGCTGTTTTTTTTTTCCTTTCAAATTTTCTAGGATTTCTGTCCATTGTGAGCATTCAGCTTAGTGAGCCAACATGCACTCAGACCTAAAGGGTAATTACAGCAATGAAATATTTAGCTTTGTAATTGTTTGTATGGACAAACAAAAATCTTAGTTTAGAACCTGACAGAACAAAGACATACAATAGTATTTACATTAAAATGCTAGATACCAGACACTATGATATACAAATAGTGTTTTTCATGAACACAGATGCTGTAGCGAATATCGTAAAGAAGCACAATGATGAGGTAGTACAAACAACATTTTTTCCCAATGTTTTGTGACTTCATGGCTTTCAACCCAAAGAAAAGGAGTTGTTTCTACTTCTGCATATGTAAATAGTTCTATGGCATTGTAACGGGAGAGAACCATGACCAGTGAGCTAAATTAATAGAAACATTCTGTATTTATGTTTAAGAGAAAACCATGAAAACTATATATAAATATTCAAATTAGTAGAAAATCATTAAACATTCTAATACCCTAGTACTCCAGACAAGCATGTGCATGCATATCTAACTTAACTCTAGGAGAATGGAGAGATATTTCTTCCTAACCTTACCAAACGTTTACTGTACAGCAGTGCTGTGCTGCTCCCACTGGAAACTGCCCATTTGGAAAAATTCATGACATGTTCCAGCTGTTTAGAGAGACCTGCCACTTCCTGTTGTTGCTGCAGAAGTTTCATCCTATGCTCTTTTGCCAGAGTCTGCAAGCAGAAAAGAAGAAATCTGATAGAACACTTTTCATGCATGACGTGTGGAATTATGAATTGCAAAAGCATGGAGAAAGAAACTGGCCACCCCTCAAAAACCAAATTTTTCTCCTCCAAAAATCCCACTTGCTCAAGTAGCTTGTATAGGACAACTCTCCACTTTGGAATCATGCTAGGACATGCACAGGGGACTTATGCTAGAAATTTACTGTAATGTGAAAAAAAAAAAAAAAAAAAAAAATAGGACTGAATTTTTCTTATGATAGAAATGAAATTACCTCCAACTGATGCAGCAGAGCTTTTCCCTTTTTATTTATTTCTACCATCAGTGTAAATATGGCAACTTTAATATCCTGTTCCACCTGCTTTTGATTCTGATTCACTTCAAGAATTCTGTAAGTAGACAGTATAGAAAATAATGTTCTTTAGTTCATAAACTCATCCTCTAAACAGTATTTTAAAAAAAGAAAAACCTGTTGCTTAGACTACAATACTTCTTGGTCATATGCACCAATTAATACATGTATCATCAGATACTTATAGCCAGGAAAATTACTGGGAGAAATAGAGCAAGTAAGAGTGACCTGAGAGAAAATTAATTAACTGGTGGCAAACTCTAATGCCATAACTCTGACATCTGTCACTGATTAAAATTAAACGCTCACTGTAATTGAAATTGTCAATTTTCAGAGTCATGGCACTTTTCTGGAATGATCCATGCCAATCAAAACTGCTTAAGTCTAATTTCCATCTAAGGTAAAATGGCACTGATTTAGCTGTTTCAACAATAGTGCACAAGCTCATAACAGCAAAGCTTAATGTTTTATTGGGGAAACCTCTACTAAAGAGATGAAGGAAGAGCTCAAATCATCCTTGGCATCCCCAGCTGTGCTCAATCTCCCTGGGTACTGCTGCCCCTGAACTCTGCTGAAGGAGCAGCCACAAAGGCTTGCTGCAGATTGCATTTTACAGATTTATTTTTCTCCTAGGTTTGTAGTACCCAGTGAATAGAGCCCCAAGCATAAAAGTACTATATAAATCTTCAAATATGTGTCACAAACATTATGAAAACATGAGTCATAACCTTTCACTTTCTAAGAGGGATCTACACTAAGAAAACTAATCTGCTGATGGTGGGAAAGCACTTAAGACTGTCTTCTACAGTCTTTATTGCATAAGTTGTTTTGTTTCACCCAAGCAACTGCTGCCCATTAAGTCCACAGGCTGAGCAGAATTACCTAACACAGCCAAGCATACTGAAAACAGTCACTACAGTGAACTTTAGAATTCCTCTTTCTGGAAGCATAAAAGGAGGGAGATAGCAAATACACTCATTTAAACATTTCAAGAAACTACAGTATATGTAAAGTTGCCTTCTGCCCATTTTAACCTCATAATCTAATACAAACCTGTTATGGATCTGTTTCCCTGTATATTTTATGTACTTAGTCTTCTCCATCAATTTGGTGATTAGTGTCTCAATGATAACTTTCTGGTTCTGAAAAGCTTCTTCTATAAACTGGTACCTGTAGTAAAAAGCAGTGAGGATTTACACATGTAAAATGTGTTATATACTAGCTAAAAAGCAGAGTGACTTACAAAATAATACTTCTTTAATTGAAGAAAGGGGCTGCTCAAATCCAAAATTTAATTCTCATCATGGAAACAAATGCTTGTATATTTTGTTTATAGTATATTTAATTTTATAGTCTATTTCCTGTCATACTGGGGTAAGAATTTACTGTTTCATAAACACAAAATAGCCTGATTTTAGCAAAAGAAAAATTAATGTTTTGAGGTAGTCATCACTTTGAATGTGAAAATTCAGGTAAGCTATTACTTAATGTAGAACAAGGATGCAGAAATAGAAGAGATTGCTGAGTTGGTAGAAGTTGGCAACATTTAAATCAAGGAACCAAAATCTTTAGCAATCTGAGGAAAAAAAAGAGGTAGCACATTATAACAGGAATATAAATCCTAAGAAAATGAGACTAAAAGAGGAAGACTGCAACTCTGCAAGAGCAATGTTTAGCTTGTTTCAAGGAGCAACAGTGGCCAACACTTCTCCACCTACTGATGTTCACCTAGTCAGGCAAGCAAGCTCTTTTGGTGTTGCATCAGGTATAGCAAGTACATTAATATTTAACCAGAGTGCATCTGTCCCAAAACATGACTATATGTGTCAACCAGCAAGATTTTTGCCTTGCACTCAGAAGTCGTATGTAATTCTGCTTTTCAGCTTCAGTGACCAGTAAGAGATGACCAAAGAATAGCAACATGAAGATTTGAGAGTTCTAGTGTTGTCAAAGTACAGCATTAGCCAAACTGTAGGTTAACTCTTCTTCTGAAAGGGCTCTTCACAGAAAAAAGAATTCCCATGTTTCTCCATTCCAGAACAGTTTGGTAATGTTGTTATATAATCTTGTTGAAGGACAAATGGAGAAATTACACATAAGTGTACAGTTGCATAACACAGCCCCTGTGTTTTCTAAGGACTCTCTGAAGAGCTGCATAGCAACAAATTCTGACCAAATAACTTGACTGTAGAAAAGGTCTTGTGCTTAAGTCACCAGATTAACAACTGGAAGAATGGGGTTTTATTCTAAATGTAACACACTCTCATCAGTCACATTCTTAGGGATACTGAAATGAAAGATTTTCCAGAGATCACTTGAGCTAACAAAATGAATGTATCAAAAATGAATGTATCAAAAATGAATATATCAAAAATGAATGTATCATGTTTGTAGAATCATGTGTTGAATTTTAAGAAACCTCTGCACAAAAGGCATAGGAAAGAAAACAAAGATCTTTAAAACTTCTTGCAAAAAGACAAATACCGGAAAAGACCAGGAATGCAAAGAATTCAGACAAGGAAGCCCCTCTGTCTCCAAACATGTCAAGGATGATGGACTTATCCAGATAAGATAGCAAAGGACCAAAAGCACAAGCACAGAGGAGAAGAGTTCAAAAGTTCAGTGCAGAGGAAGATGATGGTTTTACGCCTCAAAGACCACCAGGGACCCCCATAAAAGCCCCCACAAAAAACCACGGATGCCCAGAAGGGCGTGGACCTATTTAGCATGAGAGGCGAAGACAGGCGGGGCCAGGGGTTGAATATGCATAGAAAAGTTGTGTAATGTATTGCATATGGAACACCTTTGTGAATAAAACTGGGGGGCAAACTTCAGCTCGGGGCACAAGATTTCGGAGAGTTGTCTCACTTGTGCTGGGCGCTGTCATACATACCCACTTCATAACTACATCGAGTTGTGGAGTCTATTTATTTATTTATTCCACGTATCGCTTCAATACAATCTCTGTTTTTTGGTGAGTTTCATTTCTGAGCAGAAAATTTTATTCTACCTGACTGTGTTCCATACAGCTAGAACCAGATAGTCTGAACCTACTTCAGACTACCCTCCCGTAGATGAGATGGATAAAATATACACTGTGCTTTGATACCTGTGCTCTTTGTGCTCTAGTAGCTGACAGTCTCGGCAGGTCAGCTTGTCACAGGTCTCACAGTACAGCTTCAGCTGCTCCTTTTTGTGGTAAGGGCAGAACACTGGTCGCTGACTGGTCACACCAACTGCCTCTGTTGAATAAAGGAAGATGTTAGTACAGTCAACTGAACTTGTTCAAGATTTGCATTCTCCTGTTTTTCCTTAGATGTACAAGTGTGTATCAGGTCACTCACCAAGACTGTAACAGCCATAAGCTCAAACTGCAATGTCTTGCTCTTCTTGCTCAAGCACAGAGCTAGCAGAAAATGTCTAGCACCTATTTTAACATCATCTCTTCTGGCCTCACAAAACTATTTACAAAAGGAGTAGCCAGTACTGCTGCAGCTGCAAAAGACATTGCACAAACAGCAAGCTCCTTTCTTAAATGGAGATGAGGAGGCAGTTGACTCAATTCTGTCTTCTTTCTCAGCTGACTCGGTGGAAAGGGGTTGGAGGATATCAAGACATGGACATTCAAAGTGTAGAACATACAGAATATAATAACCAGGAGATGTGAACTTCCCTTCAGGACCCCATTCTAAATGTGTGAGAAGTCTCACTTCAGTTTCTAGCGTGCAAATATCAAAGGGTGCAGGAAACACCACCAGATCATAGAAATGGAATCTGTTTCCTTAAACAATTTAACTGACAAAGCCTGATTTCCTAGGAGCTAGGTTGGACACTGAGTTCATCAGGATTATACAGCCTGTAATGAAAACTGGCTTCACACTGCAGCCTGTCCTTCACTGAAGATCAATAAGGTCTCGTTTTCATACCCATTCATTTACCTCTTTTCCAAAAATTTGGAAGAAGTTATTTTCAGATCTCTATTCTCTGGTCAAAATTCTTTCCAACTCACCAAAAAATTCCCTCCCAGAGAGGCCTGAGTGCACTGAGACCACTCCTACCACCAAATCCTGCTCTGCCTAACAGTCCATCAGCCACTTCTACCCACTTTTGTCCTTTCTTGAAAGTACATTCAGTACTCACTTTTGATTAACCATGTGTGAAAGTGGGACACAGAATACAGTGAATATCTTCAAAGTACAATGGTGGAAGACAGCCTTTGAGCAATAGATTACCTCACAGTACTAGATAGGGTGGAGGGAAAATAAGTATCTATTCTAATACATTTATTTAAAATACTAGATAACAATTGCTAAAAATTATGTATTTACAGGAAAAATCGTGCAAGTCCAATGGATGTATTAGAACCAGTAGAATGTTTGTCAGCATCCTGTAACATTTATTATCCTCCTACAAGGACACTAGAAGACAAGACACAGTGGGGAAAAAACTGAAACAAAAGAGGTTCTCAATGAGCAGAATAATTCAACCTTTTCTACCATAGAGTAGTCAAGATTTCTCAGAGAGGCTGTACTGTACACCACATTCACCACTGCTGGTTCCCAGGGCCCAAAGGGGTAAAGCCCTGAGCAATTGGAACTCAGAACTGAATGCCTGAAGCAGGAGGCTGGACTAGATGATCTCCTGAGGTCCCTTCTAGCCTGAATTATTGTAGATCCTACTGAGGAAAAATGCTCCAATTCATAATATACTTTCCCTAAGGCAAAATATTTCAAGCACAAAAGATACTTAGCTAAAACATGAATTTTGGCTGGCTTTTTATCAGAATGCCGAAAATATATAATCTATTAGTGCTCCTTTTCCTGCTGTATACAACAATAAAGTTCATATTAACCTTTTGTTAGACCTCTAGTAAAACTAGAGAAGCCAAATGCCTAAAGAAATATTTTCTGCAGCTGATCTCCAAAGTCTAGACAATAATTTGCAATCAATCCACGTGGAAGATAAAAATCTATGTGTATTTATTGGTTTAAAACATGTTAAATAAAAATAAAAAATAAAACCAAACCAAAACCAAAACAAAACAAACAAACAAAAATCAACAACCCGTACCACTATTCTGCTTATCTGAGACAAAAAACTGTTGGAACACCAGCTTCCAAGTTACCACTTTTTTTAAAAAGTGTGTTGGTCCAACATAATTTTCCAATGCAGATACAAATTCTTTGTGAAATTATAAATATGTTACCTGGAGATACTTCCTCTTTCTGCCTCACAGTATGATCTTTTGTGAATTTAACCCTCTGGTGAGCCCTGATGCAGGTCTTACACAACCATTCTACACATTCCACACAAAACCCATGAGCTTCTGCATTGTCTTCACAGCTTGTGCAGACCTGACAAGAGGAAGAAAGGTAACGGTTAAAATAAGTTTGGAATTATACACACAGGTTATTCTTCATACATCATCATCAGTGCTGTTTAATAGTCTTCTGAAAACAGTGAAATGAGAACAGAAAACTGCCTGAGGTACAGGAACATTATAAATCACAGCACAGAAGTAACTGAATGTGACTTTTCAAAGAAACTAGTCATTTTGTCAGTATTACCCTAAAATCTTTGCCTGACATGATAAAAGTCAGACCACTACTTTCTGCCATTCCCTGCACACTTAGAAGCCAAACAATGTTTACTGTATACAAGATGCTGTTGTGAAATATTTACTAATGACAGAACACAAGCAGCACTTCTCTGATTTTAGAAGCCTCGCTCAGTTCACACAGCAGCTTTAATTTTAGCTTCCAGTCACCTGCTTGGTTTCAGGAAGAACACACCATACTGAGCAGCAAGGTTCTTCTCAAGAATCTTAGCATCACCTCTTAAAGACAGTATTCCAGTTAAGTTTGTCAAAAACGCTACCCCAAAACAGATTTGCAAGCAATGCACAAGAATTTTCAAACTGTGGCCTGTTAACTCCTGGGGCTCTTTGGACTACACCCAACAGACCTAGGAAAAAAAAATAATTAAGGAAAACAAACATGTCAGCAGACCTAAACCTCTCTACACAGAGTAAATACACAAGAACAAACCTGCTGCAGTACCACAATCTGAACATCAGGTTGAAAACTTTGAATGATGGACAACACCATTTCACACAATCATAATGTTACTTCATTTTTACCCCTCCTTTACAATGCCTCTGTGGTCCTACCTTCAGTGGGGTTTTGGTAGTAAAAAATAGTGAACATGCTCATCTAGTGCTGGTTTAGGTAACTACCACCCATTTCTGGCAATGTTCAGCACTGCTGCAAACCAAAGGCTCAATGTCTCTGAAGACTGCTACATCCTACAGATCACAGTGACAGATTTCTGCTCGCAGGAGCAACAAGGAGAAAATTTTAGGTTTTAGTTTTGTTTTCACTTTGATTAAAAAAACTCAACCAAATGACTTCTGCACCCACACAAGGTAAATATAGATTAAGTTAAAGAGGAAGGAAATATTTATATCTCATGCAGATAAAAAATATATACATAGCACTGTGTTCCAGTTTCCCCTTCAGGAAAGAAAGGAAAATTAGCACAAAACTTGCCTTAGGCCAGATAGCAAGTTACTGACAGAACTGGAATTTCGACATGAGTTCCAAATACCCAGTGCTGTGCTTATTTTTCTGGATCATGTTACCTCTCAAAGCAATTATCTTCTGAGAAATGAAGTTACAACATAAGGGCTGTTGACCCCTCTTGTTGTCACTTGGAGTTTGAAGCAGTTTCTTTTCATTAAAGGTGACCTGCGAAGGAGAAAATATTGGGCTTGTGCCCCTCTTTCTGTTTCTTTACAAAAATGAGACCTGGAAGTTTTCTTTTTCAAAATAATCTCAAAAATTTAACTTCTCCTTCGTTTTTTATTTCTTCCCCTTCTTCCCTTAACAAAAAAATGTCTTATTTCTATCAAGACCAGTAGTCTAGTGAAAAATACCAAAGTCAGGACATCATTAAAGAAGTCTAGAAAATTGAAATAAAGCAATTAAAGGAAGTGAACTGTAATCAGGAAATTGAAATTTTTTACTTCCTGTCTTGATTTCAGGGGGAACAGAGTGGGGGTTTTCCTCAGTAGCTGGCACAGTGCCGTGGTTTCAGATTTAGTACAAAAATAACATTGATGGCAACAACCAGCACATCAGTTTGTTAGGCAGTGCTTACACAAACTCAAGGAGTTTTCAGCTTCCCATGCTCCCTGCCAGTCAGCACATGCACAAGGAGGGAATGTGGCCAGGACAGCTGGCCTGAACTTCCCACAGGGATATTCCTTACTGCAGAATATCAAGCTCAGCAGATGAGCTCTGGGGAGTCGGGTGGGAGGCACCAATCTCTGTTCAGGGAAAGGCTGGGCATCGGTCAGTGGGTGGTGAGAAATTTTATTTGGCATCACTTGTTCATCTTGGGCTTTATTCCTCCCTCCCTCTCTGTCATTACTACTATTATTATAATTATTTAATATTACTTTTTTTTATTTATGAAGCTGTTCTTAGCTCAACCTACAGAGTTATCTCTTTTTTTCCCCCTGATTCTCCTCCCCATCCCACTGGAGGTGGGGAAGCAGGGAGGAAATAAACTGAAAGGGGGAAGTAAAAAAGGCTGCATGGTACTTGCTTATGAGCTGGGGTTAAAACTAACGCTTGTTATTAAATTCAATGACATTTTGAAAAACAAAACAAAAAAAATTTAGAACTGTTCTTAATTCTTGGAGGAAAAAATCCTCTGCCTCCTTTCTCTTTAGACAGTTGTCCCCTCCTTTTTGTGCCAGTGCCACCCTCTGCAAGACTGTGATGCAAACCATGGACTGATAACACCATCATAGCCCAAGGCTCAGTTACATCAGCAATGCTGACTGGAGAGTGAACTGAATAGGCAGCACAACAGAGTTTTGACATCAACCTTGTGGCCAGAGAGGTGTGATTGAGCTGTGCCTCCAAACACCCATGTTTGTAAAAGTTTTTAAAAGTCAGAGTGGAGAGTAACATACTGGATGTTTGGTTTTCTAGTGTTAAAAAAAACCAGCCCTAAAAACAAAATAAGCAGAGAAAATGAACAAAAAACAAAACCAAAAAATCTTTCAGGCATTCTCTAAGTCAAAGAAGCAAAACAAATACTTAAAAAAGAGGCATAAACCAAATTAAAAGCAAAACCAACCAACCAACCTCCCCACAACAGCCTTTCCAGATCACCTTTAGCAAAATCAGGCAGATGAACATGCCAGGACATTTAGGTAAGTTCAAACAATGTTTGCAGTCATTAATTCTCCCTAGATTCCAAGAGCTTAATCTATTTTTTTCCCATATGCTTCAGTTGAGTTTTTTACACTGCTTTGACCTGCTGTATGTGGACTGAGATGAAAATTGTGATTCAATAACCAATAATCAGGTACTGCCAAAAGAATCACAACTCCTCCTTTGTAGCATCAAAAATATATATCCCATCTTTATACTCTTCAAATCCACCAAGTGGACATGAGACAGATTTCTAAAGCTTTTCACAGACATCAGAACTCAAGCTGTCAAAACAGCAATGCCTTCTAGGTAGCATCAAATTTCCTCCCATCCACTTCTGATTAGAAATATGCATTTTCAGATACAGGTTGGGTTTTGCTAGAACTCCTAGTTATTAGAGTAAGCTATACAGCTAAAGCACATGGAAGTATAATTACTGCAAATATTTGTTATGCATTTACAAAACCTAAAACTCATTCTTATTTTTGTGACTCACACAAGCAATGTTTCAGTGATTTCAAAGAAAACTCCCCTAGTTAACCTATAAGCCTTTATTCTGGTCAGACAGACATTTATTTTTTATTGAGTTTTCGTTGTAATTACATTTAATTCAGTTATGAATTCTAGTATTTATAACCCCAGGAAGTGTTCATTCAGCCTTCAGTCAAATTTAATGAAAGCAGAAATTACTCAGCATGTTGCAGGTAAGTACTATTTTAAGAAAATACACAAGCTTTTATGGCAGAAAAAGCACATTTGCTTGCAAGACTTGAGGTAATAGACCTGTCTTCTCAGCTCCTGTATTAAGTAACCACTCTTCCAATTAAACACATTTTGAGTATTAAAGAGATTAAATAATCAAGCGGAAGTTTCAAAGAAGAGAGCAAAGTAGTCCAGATGAATATTCAGTGAACTCCAAACCTCACCAATGTAAATTAGATGCAATGCTTTCCCCCACTGGATCCAAACCTCACTGATGCTAATACACAACTATCTCCTGGCACATATGGAATCACTGAAGACAGACACTATACATAATTCCAAACATGAACCATGAAATCTGAGCAATATATCCTTCTTACCTTACCATCCCATCAATATTCACCATCTTTTCAAAGCATACAAGAACATCCTGTGACTCTTCCTGAGTCTATTACCCACCTCCATAAACCACCAGCTTTCAGAGATGTTTTGGTCACAGGTACAGCTTTTATAAGCTGTTTAAGCATAATAAAACACATAATGGTTTATTATGCTTAAACATACAAAGCACCATACAAAGAAACTTATTGTTATAAATTCTCCTTATTAATCACCTCATAATGGCAGACTTACTTTCCTAATATCTGGATCTTGTATCAGATCTAAGCTGATGCTTTGTTTTGTTACTACATTCCCAGCATCTCACATAAAACCCAGCCATTCTTCATTCCTAGTACAATATATTAAACTCTCAGGTCAGTGACTGGTAGAGACAGAAAGTTATTCTTACCATTAAAAATATTTTTACATACATTCTGTTTTGGACACAGAAGCTATGAGAATTAGAACCTAGACTAAAATGCATTAGAGGCTCAGTGTGCTGCACCAACACCCATGTTATCACTAAGGTCTTCGCTCTTGCATCAGTCTCACATCTCTCATTTTTATTTTCATGGCTTTGCATATGCCACGTTCTTCTCAAGTCTCTAAATTTCCCTCACTTGTCTACCCTTCAGTCTAATGCAAATCTAGCAACTTGCTTCAGCAACATCTCTTAGGTTGGAAGCCCCTTTCTCCTCATTCTTATGAATGAAATATAATTAATTTTTATCCTCAAACTTCTCTTTGGAAGCTGATCATTTTACCAAGCCTTTTAATAAATCACAATGTGAAAAAAACCCCAATTATAAAGCATCTGCTCTTTCAAAGTATTTATGTCCTAGCTGCCCACAACCTACAACAATTACTTTCAGGAAGATCTCAACTCCATTTCCCGTGAGTTTCTTTTCTTTTGCAAGGTTTCCTATGCCAATGGCCAGCACAAAATCTTTAATGCTACCCAGGAAAGCTCTTGTAGAACATGTACTAGGGAGTTTGAGTTCTATACTTTCTTCACGGTCACTTCTTGTGCTCCTGAAGTTTTCAGCAGTAATCGCTAGAAAGTACAGCTATGCCACTAGTGCACTGAACTGCCCAAATCAGGCTCAGCTAAGATAAACATGATTATAGACAGATGGACAGCACTTTCATGGGTTCCAATTATTCTTCTCTTCCCACAATGCAAGGCTCCATGGTATGCCATTCACTCCTGCAGTTTTAATTCAGTATGCTAAAAATTGCTCTAGCATTAGTACCATTTTGAATTTGAACCAAACATTTAATTTGCAAGAAGGCTTTTGTAGTCTCTTTTGGATTGAAATAAAACAGTTCTTCCTGCCAACACACATATAAGGCTAATCACAGATACAGACCAGTGGTTCTAAGCCACAACAATATTTGCACAAAACCCATGCCTTGCTTCCAATTCTAATTTGTTAATCTTTCAAATAAAGCTGCAAAACTATTGAAGACAAATCAACTATCTCAGTAGAAAAAAAAAAAATCTATAAAATAGATGCAGTTTTGGATAGAATTTGGATGATCTCTGATGCAGTATTTCCTGCAAGTGTCAGTATCTTTTCTACTTTAATTTCTATGATCTGTTGCCTATGCTAATGGCAAATTTTCTTTCATTTCTCTTTGCTCCTTCAAAGGCAAAACAAGACAGGCTGATTAGAAGGCTGTATCATCCTTAAACCTCATAATACTCCCCCCTGGACAGTACACTAATCAGTTTAACTATTATTGATTTAACTTTGCTGTTCCACAACAGAGGCATTTACAGGACAGTGTAGCTTTTTTCTTACATCAAGGTGCAAAGGAATGTACAAAATCTTCATTGTCATACAAAACTAAATCTATTCAAATGTAGAAAATGGCACATCATTCACTTCCAAGAGGTAAGGCACACACTCAGCAGGCATCTAACAAAATGTTTAGCGCCATTTTTCGAGATAAAAGTTAGCAAAAAAAGCACATGAATGTCCTATTCTGCTGGTTCAGCAAAGTCTGCTGGTCCTGCCTTCAGCTGCTACAGAAAGTGTGCTGAGTTCAGCCAAGGACCTTAGCTGAAGAAAAGACTCGCTTACAAAGTGTAAACCTGCTGGTTTGTGTCAGGGAGAAACAAATATGGAATAGAAGAGTGAAATCTAGAAGGGATCTGAAGGAAACACAAATGCTTTCAAGAACCTCCCTGACATCTGCTCACGCCACTCAGTGAATGGAATTCTCCACTTAACTTTCACATGAAGCAAAAAAATATTGTAAGGGAAGAGGGTGAGATCAGAGACTTAAAAAAAAAATAGTTACTACTCCCAAGGGGAAAAAAATATTCCATTTCTATCACCACTCCCCAAAGCAGTACATTCGAGGACTTATTATATAACTAAGCAGAGGCTATAGGACAGCCCCACCCTCTCAAAAAAAACCCCAAACATTTAGGACTGCTTCTGCATAATATTTGCTATCTTGCTTCTCTTCATAATTTTAAAGTCACTATCAAAGTTGTGATTGAATTTTCAGCAGGGTCCACTCATTTTGTCAGTCTTACCGGTACAGTATTGAGAGACTGTGTAAATCTCACAACCATCTGCAAAACTCAGCTATTTTCCTGCAATTCCCAGGGGACAAACACAAAACAAACATTTCCCCTTGCCAAATCCAAAAGAAGCCCAAGTTCAAACAGTCCTACATTGCAAGAATACAGCTTGTACTTCCAGCAACTCACAATTCAGTTTCTGGTAAGGTCTACTGTTTCTCAGAAAACCAGTTTCAAAATTCCTTAAAATCTGAACAGTTTAATGGCTTGCAAGACACAAGTTCTCTTGCTCAGAGATTATGACACCACTTATGCCCTCAACAGCCAGTGAGTTGGTATCATGAACCTGACTGGCTCCTGTCATCTCTTCCCAAGGGATGTGGCCGTTCCCACATGCAAGCACAAATTCCAGCTAAGCCTTGAAAGGAGCAGAATGCACAATAAATGACTTCTAAGACACTGCCCCTGAAGCAAACAGCTCAAGAGCCAATGATACAGTTCCCCCTAAAATGGGAAAGTGAAAGAGAGGAATTTTCAAAATAAAAGGAGACCACCATCCAAATATCAGGGCATGAGTTGGAATACAAGCCACATTGATATAGCAACGTTACTGTACTATTCTTATGAAGAATGCAGCAACATACAAAGAGGCTGAATAATTTGCAATAACTTCCTGGAGTTTAATAAAAAGTCCATGAGTAAAGAGATGCATGAGATACTCCCTTACCAGCTAAAAATGAAGACATGCAATATTTTGCTAACAGAGATTGTTCAATTGTGATCCTACACAGATGTGACCATTTGTTTGGTATTGCTTCCACACTAACTGGTACTTGCCTCCTGAAAAAAACATCATAAGAAAAAAACCCGCAATATTACTGTTCTTCCAGATAAGCAACTCTTATTGGATGGCTATTACTTGACTGCAAAAGGAAAAGAGAGAGTCTACATAAGGAAAACAGACAAGAAACCCATACAATATCCCATCCTCCCCAGTTAGCATTTTGAGCCTCTTCCTTGGCAACAGGACTCCAGCTATTTAATGACATGTTTTGTCAGTAATGTGATAAAGTCCATTTAGATCTCCTGGTGTGGTGTTTTCAGGTCTTTGCTTCAAAGAGTGCTTCAAGTACCCTGTCCAATGTACAGACATTCCCAATCTAATGCCTGTTCCTTACTTTCATCTTTTGCTATTAAGATGCAAGTTTATATCAACAATTAAAAATAGTGTAGGGTAACATAACCACCTTCTTCACAGGCATTTTCATACACTTTAACTCATTTTCTAGAGTAGCTACCCATGTGATGTCTAAGTACTTGAAGTTCTGTCTGCATATGAAGTGCAAAAAGGCCACACAGCAAGAAGCCACGGATATGCACACACATCCAAAAGGTGTTAACTTGATTACATGTTAATGCACTTACCTGATTTGATTTCTCTACTGTGCTACTGGGAACCTCTGTGGTATCCTTCACAAAAAAGTTATCTATGATGTGTCTCTCTGCACAGTCCTGACCACAAATTGGACAGCGGATAACACTGACTGGGGGGAGAAAAGAAAATCTGATTATGCTTGCACAAACTAAGATATATTAAACAACTTCAAAGACAACTTGCAAGGATAAATATTTTTGAAAGGATGTTACACTACTTTCCTGTCAATAAAGTATGAGCAAGAAAAAGCAAATTCTCATTTGTCACTGAAGTTACTTTTACTTGTTCTTCCCTGATGACATATTCTATCACCCAAGGTCAAACACCTCCTTGTTTCAATGCCATAAGGAATTTGCCTTAATCTTATAAAGAAATAATTCTTTTACTATAAAGGGAACATATTCCCATTGACAATTTGTTGCTATAGAATAAAGTAAACACTTATTAGTGTGGAATATTAATAAAAGACACTGAGTGGTATTACATACACACACACATACATGCCAGTAATGTGACGTGACTAACCTTGATCTATATCACATGGGAACACAAATGTAGAGAACACTCAAATTTAATGAGGTGACTTGTAGAGAAGAAGAATTGAGCTGTATTAATATCATGACTACCTTCACAATAAGCAAGGGAAAGCAATAAAAACTTTGGAATAAATAAGCAGGGCTCCCTCCCTCCTCTCCTCTGCAAGATGCAATAGGGTACAATTCTAAGACAGAAACATAGTCAGGCTCCAGGTTGAAGAAAGCTTAGAACCAGTAACACAAAGGGTTAAACAATTAAGTCTTTCCAACAGAATGGAAAGGACAAAGTAAAGTCCAAAACTTGGGGTTGAGCTGTGAGTAGACTAGGTTGAAATGGGAAAGATCTATAGAGACATTTTTAAGCAGACACCTTTTCTAGCTGCAGAAAATAATGTCCTACTAGCACTAAGGTTTGTTTTTAACATCCAAGAAAAATCTCTAAAATGCTAGGCACTGACATCTTGCTTGAAGAAAATTACTGTAGTCATTACAACCAAAAAAGAAGCAATTGAAACCAACTTAGGCTGAAATAATCACTTAGGACATGGAAGTCACATGCAAAAAGCCTACAGCAGAACAGTCATGCAAGTTACACTGACATATATTCTAGACCTTCAGCTCCCATTTGAGAGGAAACATAAATTTAGGGCCTGAAAAAAGACCTGTTTACCCTGTTTAACCCAATGAATTCAACGCCAGTATATAACTCACCACTTGCATATTTAACTAAACCAGCGTGGGTTTAAAGCTGTTCCTGTTTCATTTTTACAATAAATTGTGAAAGTACAGAAACTATTAAGTATTTCACTTTCTGCAGAAGAACTTAATTCCTTACTCTAATTGCTTCATACAAGATTTAGGTAACTTTTTCATAAGATTCTTCCAACAGATGCTCAAGACTTAGCAGGCAACTCAGTATAAAGCAGTGCTGTAATAAAAGTCCAGCATTTCTTCATTCTGGAAAATCAGCAAGCACTTTTCCACTTGTTATCAAGGCATTTCACTTTCATCTGAACAGCTATGATGTTACGCTTGATTTTACTCTAAGTGCCATTTTACCAGTCTGCATTTCAATACACATTTGTGCAGCTTTCTTTGACATACAAATTCCATTTTTTTTGGCTGCAACTTTTGTAACATTTTTTATATCATCATCTGCAAGGATAATTGAGAAAATTCAGTTCTGGTAAGTCAAGTAGCTAGCAGAACTTCAAGTACTGAACTTCTCCTGTAATTAAGCAAATCAATTTACCACAGTCAAGAGTGAACACATCTCCTAATACTCAAGCTACACACTTTCCAAGAAACACTGTTTTTTACATTTTTTCAACAGCACCAATTACAAACCACCCTTGCCCTTGTTCCCTCACTGCTCATTCTTGACCCTGACAAAGACAGTGCTCTGGGTTGAAACCAAAATCACGAAGCAAGGAAAATTTCTAACACAAACTGAAGTACTGAAAAGCAGACATTCTTTATTGCAGCACACTGGACACAGAGAGAAAATTTCCTCTACTCTGATGTATTGCAAAACTTTACAAAAATGATATTTGTTCCATCATGATCATAAATGTTGATTACAGTGTACTTCCTGGCTAATACATACACATCACTTTTTCTAGAATTAATTTGCATGCATTCACCTCTTATTAGGAGTAGTCCTTTCATGTTCCTACAGGGTCCTTTTGCTATAAATGGATGTGAGTCATGCCAATAAAATTATAATTGTATCAATAATTTGGGAAAATAACTGGAAAAGTATGTGTGATTAGTGTTATGAAGCAGATGGGTTTTTTCACAGAGGATACATGTGGGAAACAGGGTGCAGGAGTTGGATTTGACCTCGGGAATGGATGAAGTCAGAAACTGACTCCCAAACCAAAACTGGCACCACCTGAAGTTAAGACAACTCCCAGAGCAAGATCAACCTTGAATATGAATAAAGTTGGGAACATTCCAGACAGGGAGTCTAAAATATTGGTTTATCTATGAAATAAATAATCAGATTTAATTGGAACATCAGCCTTATTTATATAACACCAATCTTAGTGTGCATGTGTAACCTGCCAGGTTATCCAAAGGACATGTGAGGAAGACCTCTGGCCTTCCTCCACGGAGACCCCAAAGAGACCAGAAGACCCCATAGCAACAAAGGGAGCACACGTTGTGCAGTAGGGTGATGCAGTAGGGAGGAGATTTGTGGGAACTGTTGATGAATGTGTATTAACACACAGTATATGTATATAAATTGTGTTTAGCTCCTTTTGCCTTTGTACAGGAGGTAGGGTGGGAATCCCTCCCTGTACCTTGGTTGGTTTTGCTTATGCATTATCCGAACTAATGCCAATTTGTTTTTGTAACTACTTGATTATATTTGGTTGCATTATTATATTATACCTCAATTAAAATTGCTGCTAAATTTTAATCTTGTGGTTTATTGAATTGGACATATAGGGACCTCATTCATAACACGCTGAAGGGGTCTCTGGTGATTGTATTCCCTGACAGTCCCCAGTGGTACAGGTGACCTTTCCCTGAATTTCTCTTAAGGCATGCACTGTTGCCTCTTGTTACATGGCTACCACAAAACCCATTGTATTCCTCATTATCTGTTTATCCACTGGTTGCAGCTACACAAAGAATCCTGTGTGTCTACTTCATCTACTTCTTTAAAACACATTATTCCCTTACTTGGACAAGTAAGGCATCATTATGTTCTGTTTCTTTTATCAAGGTCAACACAGGTGTCTGAGTCGGTCTGTGCATGTGTTTGGGAGATGGGTATAGACATAGAATGAGACTGGCAAACCAATTCAGACATGGATGTATTTTTCCTGTTCTCCCAAGCTTTACTTTCATCCCTTGCTCTGCTTCACTGACCACACGCACTACTGAGTACAGTGAAGCAATATGAGAAGCAGCACAAGGATGGGAAGAGGACACCACCACTGAAGATTAAACCTGGGGCTACTGAACCAGATCAGCAGCATTAACAAGGGTTTGTAAGTCAGCTTGAGTTGAAGATATGGAAGACAAGGAAGGAGAGGCAAGAAATTAGGAAACATACCAAAACAAACCAAATATTTCATGTGCCTTTTCACCAACAGAATATTGCCAACCACCTGTTCAAAAGATCACTTAGAATTTCTAATGTCAGATGGGGGAAAAAAGGAAAAATTGCCTACAACTCTCAAAATCTTCATGTATTTTCTTTTCTATAATTCCTTATGCTGTCTCACCTTATGTCAGGGGTTTCTTCTGCCACTTGCAAGGGTAAACTTGGTTTTGTTATAATCCTAGATTGATGACTGCCACACAAATCAGTTTTAACCCAGAATTAGTCAACCTCAGGATGGTAAATTTAAGCAAAAGATCTCAAGTATCAGGGTTTCTATTCATCAAAGTAATTCTATAAGATTCTCTTTAATGGAGCAAACACAGGAAGGTGAAAACATATTACTTAAATTGGGAGGAGTTTCATAATCATCATCATGTTAATTGTGAGGACAGTGAATGAGCAGATCCCACATTTTTATCTGGTCCTTTTTTCCAGTTGTAAGGAGTTAAAGAACACATTTGCCTGTCTCAAACACCGTTACAGCCACAGGTTGACTTTGCCATGAGATAAGCACAGAATGGAGTGACAGGACAGTGCTCATCTCCTGGCCTGGCAGAGATGAGACCTGGTTAGCCCATTATGGGTAATGCATGCAGACAAAAATTCCCACTGGGGAAATGTGTGTAAAGAAGCATCTGCTTGCTTGTATGCATGTCACTGGTCAAACAAAGATCACCCCAAGTTCTGGGTCAGCTGAAATCTGCGACCACTGAAGCTATCTGAAAATGCCTCCCTGGATACCTGGAACTTGGACCTAAAGCAAGCCACCAGAGCAGGAATGAGATAAGATAAAAGGGGTGCTATTGTCTGAGGGTTATCTTGGATCTGGGGGGAGGTTAACTAAGCTGGGGGAGAAGAATGTGTCACTGATAATGGACACAACTGCAGAATTTATGGGCCACAAGAAAGGCTAGCTCAGCAACTGTGCTGAAATCAGCTTAGACTTGGTAAAATGTAATTCCAGCAGGGGGAGATGGACCACCAAACTCAAACAAAGAGGAAGACTGAGTACAAGGACTAATTAACATTAGAAGCAAGGGAATCAATTAACCAACAGAATAGTAGTGCTGTGTAGCCAATGTGCAGTAATTTGTTTCTTTGCTAATATGTATGAATAGTGAAAAGACCTGGAGAAGACCACTACTGAGAAGCCCAGGGTGAGCAAGGATGAAAAGCATACTGCTAAATCTACAGGTGGTAACTATCTTCTATCTGATCTCTCACTTTTCTATTTTTTCTACCTTTCTCCCTGACATTCCACATTAAATAAAATCTGTATTATTGACTTCAGCGTATGATCTTGTTTGAACCTTAATTTGGGCAGAGGCACATCTCAAAAGCTGGATCTTAGCATCAGGAGCATTGTTTTTTTCAGCTGTAAAGGGAGCTGGATCAAGCGCATGTGGCTCTTAAGTAGGGGGAGAAAAAGAGGTCAGACCTCCACCCTTCTGAGCA